GCTGGGGAATCATGCATCAGAAGCTGCTGAAGAGCGCGCACTACATCGAGCTGGGCAGCTACCAGTACTGGCCGGTCCTGGTGCCCCGCGGCATCCGCCTCTACACCTACGAACAGATCCCCGTGTCCCTCAAAGATAACCCCTACATCACCGACGGCTACCGGGCCTACCTGCCTTCCAGGCTGTGTATCAAAAGGTACAGTGGCTGCACCGCCCGGGGGGGCCTCTCCTCTCACGCTTTTTGTCTGGTCTCCCCGCCTTTCTCTCTCTGCTTTTCTCTGTTTGCATCATTTCCTCACCTCCGGGCCCTTTAATCTTTCTGCTGCCCTAGCTCTCCTCCGGAGGGTGCTCCTTGATCCACCAGATAACCATACTAAGAGTGGTCGTCGTTGCCTTCTCCAGTAGCCCTTTGATGTTTACAAAGAGCTTTTGCTTCCTTTATTCCATTTGGTACTCACTGGGGATATGGGTTGGAGTCTACCCCACTGACAATGGCCGAACCTTATTTGCTTTGTGTATACCTGAGCTTTGTTTCTAGACCAGCACTGTGGGCATTCAGTCGTGTTGGCCAGCTGAATGCCTGTATAATAACAGACAAGTCTAGGTTGCTGTGCATATGAGTGTGGGAAGCATTGATACCTTAAGTCATCTAGCAGATACGTATGGAGCCTCTGCTACGTGGTAGGCACTATACGAGATCCTGTAGAAGACAGGCATGGTCCTGGTTCCCATGAAACTACTATGGTCGAGCGTGAGTGGCAGAGATAATTACACTATTACATAATAGTCATTGTGGAAAATGCTGTGTAAGAAAAGCCCTGTAGCAAAGAAAGCTGAAAGGGGGCAGCCAGTCTCCAAGAGAACACCTTGGAAGCCTCTGGATTTGTCATTTGAGGTCATTAAAACTGGAGTCCCAAAAGCCCCTTTAAAAACAGCAAAAAACAAAAATCAAATAAAAGTCATGCCTTTAGTTTTTAGAGTAGCCTTATGTCAAAATTCACTGCATGTACTAAAGTCATCAAGCTAGCACAAGTCCATTACAGCAACACCCCAGGCCACTGGAGTGGCTAACTCTACTTCCAAAAATGTGGGTTGTTGAATAGCTCAAGCAGTCTGGTTATTGATCTTCCCCACACGGCCTTTCTGCATTGTTTCCTTTTGTGCTACCTTGAAAGTATGGTTGTTACTTGAATGGATGACCAAGTGGATGTCAAAGTGTGACTCTTAATTACTGCTTCATTCCCCAGTGCCTCTTGTATATAACTGCATAAGAAATCATAGCTAGGCCCTGCAGTGAGTTGCTGTAAATATTTTGTGCCCACCTAGCAGTGGTCCTCTGTATTCTGATGTCTTGAGTCCAACTCTCAAGGCCATAAAATGTTAGATCTTGAGTTGTTGAGTCAAACACAAGTTAACAAGCCCAACTCTCAGCAGCTTGGGAAATTTGAACAAGCATTAACCTGTTGATTTTAAGATAAACAGAATTTATGGTTACCTAGCTTTTCTGACGATAATAGTTTATCCTTTACTGGGGATATTCTTCCTACAATATTGATCTTATCCAGGTTGAGTCTTCAAGAGTCTCCAGGGCAGATTGTACATAAGAGAGGTTCTGTGTGCAATCTGTTCCTGGGAAGGGACGAGGTTAGAGTGTGTTTAGTTAATCAGGTTATACTGGGTTTCATAAAATGAAAACTTCTGAGGCAATAGGCAGAATGTAGTGTTGATTGCCAAAACAGTCCTGTAATTAGATGCTTCTAGAACATTCTTTTAGTTCCTCCCCCAGTTACAGATAGTCTTTGCATTTGATGATAAGCAAAATAAAGTCTGTGTTTCCAGATACAAGGTATACTTTATTCCTGACCACTTGAGACTTCACTGTGTTTTGCCCTCATAAAAATTAGGGTGTGAGAATCATGGGAAATGCTGCAAATGGCTAGTTAAAGTATGTTTGTGCTATTAAGAATTTCTGATTAAGAGCCTGAGGAGATGGCTTAGTACTTAAGAGCTTTGGCCACCCTCCAAGAGGACTTGACTTTGAGTTCCAGCACCCACATGGCAGCATACAACCATCTGTAACTCCAGTTCCAGGGGATCTGATGCTTTCTAGCCTCTGCAGGTACCAAGCACACATGTGGTACACAGACATACATACAGGTGAAACACCCACAGATGTGAAATAAGAATAATTCAATATTATCCCCCCAAAATCTGATTCAGTCAAGGCCTTTGTCTAACAAAAGAATCGGTTTTGCTGGAGACACGTATTTAACTCTCCAATCATGGTATCACCTTATAAAACGAAAAACCATTTCCCAAAATGGAGATAGAGCTGGAAGCAAGCAGCAACATCTAACACAACTCCTTTTCTTTATAGATGGAGAAACCAATGCCTGGTCAGAGTAATAAATTCTGTACCAGCCTGTGCTTCCAAGACATCTTAAGAGGACAAATGGTACCCACATACAAAGTCACCTCCTATTGTTCCTAAAAGGAATGAATGAATGCCACCTGGAAACAAGTTTCAGACCTTGCACAGCAAAATAGCTCTGCAATGCCTGCCTGTCTTCAGGACCTTTCCAGTGGGTTATTCTGTGTGTATTTCGCTTTTCCTGGATGTACAGAACTGTGTGTGTGTTTTTAACAAGTGCTTAAAGGTATTACTTTTATGCCTCAGGTTATGCTGAGCATTGTCTCAGGGAACTAACTGTTCCTGACAGTTTTCTAGCTAATGTCCAGTATTTGTATGCATACTTCATTTCTGTAGAAAGTAAGGAACCTGAGCAAGAGCTCAGCTTAGAAAAGTGATGCAACAGGAGGAAAGAAATAGTGAGAACACTAAGAGTTGAACACCAAAAGCTGTAGGACCCAGAATTAGTGTAAATGAGAGAAAATTACAGAAATAGTAAATGATACATGTAATCTTAGAAAGGCATGGATAGGGCTGAGGCTAAGTAACTCCCCCAGATCCCTAACCTTAGAATGCTGACACTGTGAGCAATGTGAATCTGAACTGATGTTTGTTTACTTTGTAGTTTGTTTATTTTATCCAATGAGACGGTAAACATCTGGAGTCATTTGCTGGGTTTCTTTCTCTTCTTCACCCTGGGAATATATGACATGACATCCGTGCTGCCTTCAGCAAGTGCATCCAGAGAAGATTTTGTAATTTGCTCCATTTGTCTTTTCTGTTTCCAGGTGAGTCATGTCACAAACACCATTCAAGGTGAAGAGAACTTTTGTCATCATGCTTGGGGGGGTGACTTTACTTCATACCCACCACTTTGAAGGACCCCAGAGGGTACATGGGACAACTTATTTGCTTTCAGAGAATAAGCACCACAAAAGCTTTTGCTCTCATTAGTTATTCTATTTGAAATCCACTCATTTCAAAGACGGTGGGAACTGTGTTTGTGTTGGTTCTCTCTCCTCTCCTCCTCCCCCATTTCCCTTCCCTCCCTTCCTCCCACCACTCCGGCTGACTCAGCCTCCCTACTCATGAAATGCTAGAATTGTAGGCATGTATCACCATGCCTTGCTTTTTTATCTTTGTAGACATCTTGGCTGTAAGATTAGTACTATGAGTTTGCCTGTACTATGTTATTGGCTAAAGTATCTACTTAAAACCTGTTTGGAAAGACTACTTCTTTGTCCTATTTATAATATATGTGTGCCTTGTATTTGCTATTTCCACACTGCATTTTTTTGTGCTATCTTAACTCACAGCACTGAGCTTTTGTTCTAATGCTTCAATGCAGTTTCCTTAGATCCCTTGTCGTCTGCTTGGTTTCATTTTTTTTTTTTGTTACCATTCATCTTTAATTTTTGTATTTATTAGTCCCATTACACTTGTGTTAGGATCTGTAGAAATACCTTTAAAGTTAACATTTAATAATTCTCAAACAGATAATTTAATTATTTTTTATTGAAAATAGACTTTTGTAGCTGGGTGGGGCTACATACCTTTAACCCCAGCACTCAGGGACAGAGGCAGGTGGATGTCTATGAGTTTGAGGCCAGCCTGATCTACATAGTGAGTTCCAGGACAGGTAGGTCTACACAGAGAAACCCTGCCTTAAAAAACAACAACAAAAAATAGGCTTTTGTTCATACAAAATATTCTGATCACCATGTCCCCTCCTTCATCACCTAGATCCTTCCCAACTCCCCATCCATTCAACTTCATGCCTTCTTTGTCTCTCCTTAAAAAAATAAATAAACCAGAAAATAACAAAACTAACAGGGAGGGAAGAAAAAGCAAGAGAAGCTCATACACACATGGAAAACCCATAAAAACACAAAATCAGAAACCATAATGGATAAACAAAAGACCAGTAAGGTTAAAAAAAATGCCCAAACAAAGCATTTTAAGACAAAAAATTCTCCAAAACAAACATTGAGTTAATTTTGCGTTGGCATCTGCTACTGGGCATGGAGGCTGCCTTTAAGTGTTTTTTGCATACCTATTGCAACTCCTTTGGAGAAAACTAATTTTTCCTTTATGAGTGTTGTTAATTGGAGACAGCTTCCAGGTTAGGGATGAGAGATCATAGCTACATCTTCTCAGTGCTGGGACTCCATCTGCCTTAGGCCTGTGCAGGCCCTGTGCTTGCTGCCAGAGTCTCCATGAATTCCTATGTGTATCAATCCTGTTGTGTCTGAAAGGCTGCTTCCCTGATGCTTTTCATCCCCTCTGGCTCTTATCTCTGCAGGACTCCCTGAACCCTGAGGAGAGGGATTGGATAGAGACAGCCCATTTAGAATTGGGTGTTCCAAGGTCTCTCACTGTCCGCATATTGTCTGGTTGTGGGTCTCTATATTTGTTCCCATTTACTTCAGGAGGAAGCTTTTCTGATGACAGCTGAGCAAGTCCCTGAGCAAGACAGCTGAGCAAGTCAACAGCAGAATGTTGTTAGGAATAATTATATTGCTGCGTTCTTTAAGCAGAGTATTTGACTTTTCCCCCTAGGTCCATGGCCACCCAGGCAGTGTCAGGCATGTGGGTTCCATGTTATGGAGTGGGCCTTGAGTCCAGTCACTCCCAACACTTTTGAGCACTATTGATTGCAGCAGCATATCATGTAGACAGGGCACTGCTGGAAACTGAAGATCATTTTAAAGCATGAAATAAATGTAAGCCATAAGTACACTGACATTTTGATAATTAAAAAAATACAGAATACAGACAGCATGAGAGCAGAAAGAAAAGGCCCACACCAAATTTCCTCAGGCAGTCACAGACCAGCGCCATGCGCTGGAGCCTGCTCTGCCCAGCCTGAAAGGAGACAAAGTTCTGAAACACTGCCCAGATGATTTCACTGCATCTTGTGTTTCAGAACCTTGTTTTTTTGTTCAAAACTTTGATCCTATTAGAAACATCTCAAATTTTCTTTTTAATAATTTCAATTTTAGTGTAGCAGATACTTACTTAATGCCCCTATATATGTCTAGACCCTGTAATACTGGGAGTAATACCAAAGCAGTAATATGTAAGGCTGAACAGAATAAGCATGTCAGTGAGATTAAGTCATGTATGTGGGAGGGCAGAAAAGTCAATCCGGGCATTTAAACAGGAAAACTGCTACGTAGAGACCCAGAAGCAACAGACACCTAGCGCTTTCTGGACTTATCTTTCCATTTGAACCCTAGGATAGCAGAGGAGGAAGGAAAGGCAGGCAACAGACAGGGACCAGACCATGGCATACTTTGTTATCCTGACAATGCGTTGATATATGTTGTATGTTCACTGTGATCATCTTCCCACTTGGATTGTGCAACATGGGATGCTTTCCTATAGACCTGAAACATACCAAATTTGCCAAAATTTTAATCTTGCAAGGAACCCTTAACAAGAGCATACACCTCTTCAAACAGATCATACAAAATATAGGTTTCCCTTTTAAAATTTGGAGTTCTTTATTGACATAATTTTCTTTTCCTTTTGATACGATAGTTTTTCTCCAGCAGATTCTCCTTTTCACAATGAGGTAAAGTTTATTACTGATTTCTGTAATTATACTATCAGTTACTATATACGCATATGGAAATTCAAGCAGATAAAAGTTTCTGAAGGACAGTAAGTCACTTGGAACCCCACTTCCACAGGTAGCCACATTTGACATTGCCATTGGAATAAACATTGTGCACATTGCTACCTTACTTCTTCCTCTCTGCCTGTCCATTGAGTGCTTCCTAGCTAAGATTGCCTCTGCTAGCTGCTTTGCCTCATTGTCTGTGACAGTGATATCCTTCTCTCTCTCAGTAAGAAGTTCCACTGAGACCCTTTCCAGGTATATGGCATGTAAGCACAGGGATAGCCAGAGAATGCAGCCGAGCTGGTACATGTAATTGTGACAGCAGATGAACTAAATCTGTGGTTAAGTGTGTCATTACTGAACATGGACACTGAGTCTCTGCAAGCTGGTTAGGCTTGCTTAACGAACAAATAACTGGATGTGCATTTTACTGTCTTGGCAGCCAGTTGCTCAAAACACAGCTGTCAGTTGGCCCTGCTTCATAACAGTTCCATTTTCTCCACTCCTATTGTCATTCACTTGATAAACTCGTTGTTGTTCCCCAGGGCCTCTCAGCTGGTTTAGTCTACGCCTCTGTAAAGGTGTTCTTCATGCCAAAGTTAAAACACCTTGTTGTGTAGTCACCTTAATTATGGCACGAAGAAAGCCACATTCCATTCTCTAATGATTTCCTATTTTTCATTATATGACTTGTCTTTATGGACCCCTTCCCCTGAAAAATGTACAGACTTCTTTAATAACCTCAATGAACACTAGCTGAATGTGGAGATGCAGCTCAAGAGTCAGCCCCATTCGTGATGGGATGCTTTTCCCCTCTTTCAGGTACACCTGCAGGCACACTGTGCGCATCCACACAGCTAATAAAATACCTGCTTTCCTTGGTTTTTTTATGGTTTACACTGTTACACTGACTTCTCCTATAGAACATGTTATAGCAGCGTTTCTCCAGAACTCTCTTGAAGAGTGTAAGTTTCACCTTCATAGCCTCCTCCACTGCATAACACACAATGGATACTTGATGGTCAGAGAGCCTCTGCCTTGCCTTATGCGTCCTCAAAGCTGCTGTCTACATCATCATCTTTGCTCTCAATTTGGAAAACATACACATTTTATTTTTTCATGGACATAGTAAAGCCATATTTACTTAGTGGTGAACTGTAGTCTTTAAGTTAAAGAAAGTGAATTCTAGCCAGGTGTAGTGGCACACACCTTTAAGCCCAGCACGAGGGGTACAGAGGCAGGGGACTTCTGAGTTCCAGGCCATCCTGGTTTACTTAGTGAGTTTCAGACCAATCAGGGCTGCAGAGTGAGAGTTTGTCTAACAACAACAAGAAAGCACATTATAGACTAGAATTATAATAAGTTCATTTGATCAAAGTATTTATCATGTGTAGACATGTGCATCACAGGAACTTAGGACACATGTGTTACAGGGTCATATAACATGTTATCAGTGGCCACTTCTAAGAAATAGATTGTATGAGAGGGGCTTATATTTTTTTCAGCATGCAATTCTAAACCTTTGATCTTCTTTAAGGGATGTATATTAATTTCTTGACCAGTTTGAAAATAAACTCACTCATGAATCAGAGAGAATTAGGAGGTATTATGAAAGTATTTTTATTAAAAACCATTTTCATTATATTTTTCCAAGTTTTTGCTATTTAGTTTATATTTTAAAATAATTATAATTTTTATGTTTTTAGTGATTGTGGTCCACATTTTCCTGATGAACTCATGAAGTTTAGTAGCAGTTTGCCCTATGATGAGGTGCACAGTTAGAATTCAAACTAAAGTGTCCCTGACTTGAAAACCTGGTGACTCAGCCAGATCTCTTGTTTCTTTTTGACTCACTTTGTTCTTAAGGCGTGCTTTTCCTTTTGTAGGTCTGTATGCTTTGCTCAGTGGGCTATCATCTTTTCTCCTGTCATCGGTCAGAAAAAACTTGTCGAAGATGGATGGCATTGGATTATGCAGGGATTTCTATTGGAATCCTGGGCTGCTATGTCTCGGGAGTGTTTTATGCATTTTATTGTAATAATGTAAGTGTTTAGAACTTTCACACTCTACCTTTCATGTAGGATTTGGGTTTTCTTGCAGTGTTTTAAATCTCCGAATGCACACTTGCCTTACAAATAGAAGAGTCTTGTTTGGGCACAAACTTCAATTTCAAAAGTCCTTTATGATCTCTAATACCATAGTGATTTTGTTAATTTTCTGGTGGAAAGGATAACGATAAGTATGGAGACACAGCACACAGAGAATGTAGCGGCATGTGTATGTATATAGTCGTGGAACTCAGCACAGGGAGGCGCGGGATCTCTACTTCAGGCCAGGCCAAGCTACAGAGCACAACCCTGTCTCAAAACAGTGAAAAAGAAGTTCCATCAACCTCACTCTCCTGTTACACTCTTTTTTATTTTCCTTTTCTCCTCTTGCCTCTTCTTCAGAGCCCAAGCTATACTTCTCCCCCAGGAGCAGCATGCATACCTGCTCAGCGTGTAGCTCTTTTCCCAGGGAACAAGCTTCCCCTCTCTGTGTGTGGGTCCACTCAGATGCAGGCCTCACCCTGGACTCTGGGAACACTGCAGCTCAGGAGTTTCTGTTAAGGTTGCTAAGAAGGGTCCTGGTCTCTACACAGTGAGAGAGAATTATTAGGGCATCTGGCTTATAAAACTGGTTTAAAGTCTTCCAAACATTCATCCCCAGAGCCACATGTCAGCTCATGTCACTCTGACTCTAGTTCTAGGGGATCCTACATCCTCTTCTGACCTCTGTGGCATAGGGCATGCACATGGTGCAGAGACATACACTCTGGCAAAACAAAATACACATAAAATTAAAAAATAGATATATTTAAACTACCAAAGGAAAAAGTCATAAATTAGGCTTGAGTATGTTATGACCATTGTAAACTACCTGTTTTTCAGGCCTAATTACATTATGACATAGTATCTAACTAAGTATATATGTAAAGTGTGAATTGATTGGATTTTACTAGAAAACTGTGTTTACTCAGAAGTGCATAGCACTATTCTGTATGCAATTCTGCATCATTAAAGGAAAATAAGGAAATGTGCTGTCAGGAAGGTTGTCATGTAGTCGAGGAGGTTGTCAGGCTGTTATTCATACTTAAACTGCTGTTAGCTTGTGTATACACACACACACACACACACACACACACACTTTTTATCCCAACCCTGCCCTCTGTTTGAATGAACTATGCTGATGTCTGTCTGACCTGCTTCCTCTCACCTCTTCTCTATCCCGGTATCTGAACTTTTGTCTCAGTTGCCACCCTCTGGGGTTATAGAACCCAGTGTTCATCCTGTTCTTCAGCAGCTGCCAATGTGTCAACATGGTGGATTTAGTCTTAGTCTCACCTTGGGCTGCCTTTCTCCAAACCTCCCTGTCCCTTCTCCCCACACACAGTGTTTTCATTCCTCAAGCCCAGCTTAGATGTTGTCTCTTCTGGCAAGCATCTTTAGCAACCCTGAGTAATACTGACTGTTCTTGCTTCAATGGTTCCACAACATTCTATTTGTGACTTAGTCACAGCATTATCATTACACTATCAACATGTTCACAAGGCTGCCCCTCCCACAGTCTGAGCTTAGCCACTGAGAGAGGCCATGCCATAGGCAGCCTTGTGCCTACAACATTTTCCTTGTGACTAGCATATAACAGGTACTCAGAAAATGCTTTTGTATGGAGAAGTGAGTGTGGTCTTCTACCAGTTCACTTTCAGCTTTGGTTTGCCATCCTTTTTAGAACCTTAACATTTGTGTGGGACACTCTTCAGAAGGGATGGGGGATCTTGTTTGGACATTAAAGCCAAGTGATTAGAGCCTGTGATGTTTAGTGTGGAAGCCCAAATGACCGTCTTCCTTTCATTCTAGTATTGGCGTCAAGTGTACTTGATCACCGTGCTCGCAATGATTCTCGCAGTGTTCTTCGCACAGATTCATCCCAATTATCTCACACAACAATGGCAGAGGCTCCGCCCTATCATCTTTTGTTCTGTTTCGGGGTATGGAGTGATCCCTACTCTTCACTGGGTTTGGCTTAATGGAGGAATCAGTGCTCCTATTGTACAGGTAGGCTGAGTGTGTCAGGTTTTTTGTTGTTGTTGTTGTTTTTTGTCCTTAATTTTTAATTTTTTGTGACAGTGGTGTAGTGAGGCTATGTGGTAGCTCTGAATCCTTTAGGAGCATGTTTTTAGTTGCATATTGAAACAGTTTTTGCAGCTATATAAATGAGCATACCTCTCAAAACTGTAAGTTGGTATCTACTCATTTCTGATGAGTCACTGTATGAAATAATATCATTATTTTTCTGTCTCTCTATGTAAGTACACATATCATTCTGGGGACAACTTCTGAGTTTGCAGTTGTCTGCTGCGCTAGTGATAATATCATAGACAATGGGTTATAGAGGTGGGAGCACTTGATTTCTTTTGAGAGTAAGAGATGGAGAATTGAGGAAGAATTTATGGTTGGACATGTTGAGTTGGAGACATGTATGGCATGGAAATAAAAGTAGATATAGGGCTTGAATCGAGGATAGAGTTGGAGACGGGTGATAAATATTGATAGTAGCATCATATTGGCAGCTGGGACTGGAGGAATATGTTCAACCCAACAAGAATATATTCAGAAGTAAAGGAAGAGCTGTTGATTCTGTTGGCTCATACCCTGTGGAGACAGGTGATATTCCAGAGGAAGAACTCCAGTAGGGCTCCATCTTCCTGAGGACCATAGAAATGAATTTTTGTGTTCTTAGAAATTCCTATAAAAGGGCTCCAATTGTGTGCTAGAGAGAGGGCCCTTGAAAATGTTTAATGTAAGTAAATATGCCAAGGAAGCTGGTGTAAGTCTCAGTTGTCACAGTGCCCTTTGTTTGGACTTTAATGGAGTTTGTTGTCACTCCCAGGAAAATTAGTTGACTACAAGAGGAAGGCCTGTCAGTAGGCTTGCTTTCAGTGTGGTACAGGGGAAAACACCTGAAGAGAAAGGTGGTTTGTGGCAGAGTGAAGTGAGTGGCCTGGTAAATCAAGAGAGTGGTACTCTTCCTAAGACCAGGAACATAACAGAGCTGTTACAAATGAGAAGGGACATAGCTGTCCTGCTATGTATGAAGACACCATTTTTCTGGTAATTTTGGGTTCCCAAGAATAAGACAATAGAATGAAAAGCTGCTACCTATAATTTAATTCTAACTGGAAAAGAATAACTGGTAGCTGATACAGAAGTGACTAAATTTAGAGGTAGTAAATTACAGTCAGCTTATAATGATAAAAAGAACAAGAACTTTAGAGTTGATAGATCTTAAGAAAATTTGAATATTCCTGTATGCCTAAGACCTAAGATGTATAAAGATGGTGGTTCTTAGAAACAGAGTTCTAGTAAGATCTGGTAAGTTCTAGGATGTCATTCAAGTGAGGAGGCGAGGGGGCCTTTGAAGAAACCCACTGAAAAGCTCTCCTTGTTAAGTTGGGAAGAGATGCACCACTAAAGATGAGATTTCCAGACAGGTTAAGCCTGAAAGATGGTGGAAGGTTGTTCTAGAATGGTTAGAAATCAGAGACTGATAAACCTGAAGAATACAGGGTTGGAGAAGGCCAAGATCATTCTTGCATACTTAAAAGGAAGAGAAGTTGTCTTTAGTTCTTACATGAACTATTGGTACATTATGTAGGCTTGTAACCAGGGTGAGAAACAGTATATGTGTTTTAGCTCACTGGTTGGGAAGACCTTTAGGCCCACGTACCAGCAGTGAGATGGAGTGCTTCATATAGCAATGCTCAGGGCATTTATCTGGGATGTGGGAAGCTAGTCTGTCTTGGGCAGGACTGTTCATATCTGCCTTTAATCTCTGCTGACTCTGCTCTCGTACACATGGCACTCTGTAACCACTTTGTAGAGGAGCTGGGCAGTCTCAGGACTATAACCAGTGTCAAAGCTCAAGCTCCATATGTAGCTGAACCCTTAGACCATCACTATGCTGCATTTCTGTGGGCCTCTTCCTGTGGAATAAGAACAACAGACCATTATTATGGAGACCATCATCAGGATAGTTGGGACTTAGTAGTCTTTAAATCCCATCTCAGCTCAGAAAATGTTAGCAAACACTCTTTGTTTTCTAGGACTTTGCACCCCGAGTAATTGTGATGTATGTGATCGCTCTTCTTGCTTTCCTGTTCTACATTTCCAAAGTTCCAGAACGGTACTTTCCAGGTAGGTCTCTGCTCAGCATGGTTTTGTAGCTTCCTTCCGAAAACACATTTGAAGTAAATGCTTCTGAGAATCAAAATTTAGATTGTTTCTCAGTATTGATTATGAAATGATTCTTCCATTGCTAAGCAATATCTGTAACTTTTTCACCAGGCTTGGTGCTGTACACCTTTAGTCCCAGCACCCAGGAGGCAGAGGCAGGCAGGTCTATGTTAGTTTGAGGCCAGCCTGGTATACATAGTGACTTCGAGGACAGCCAGGGCTATACAGAGAAATCCTATTTAACAAAACAGAAAGAAAACATAACTTTTAAATTTCAAGAGGCTTTCATAGACACTTCCTGCCACCCTCACAGTATGATTTGGTGATTTGGGTCCAGGGGCTGAGGCTGACACAGTTGTACAGTTATGAGCTTATGACTGCTCATCACACTCTGATGATCATGTGACTCCTGGCCCCTGTTCAGCATGGGGCACTACCAGTAGCTCCTGTGCTCTTAGTTACCAACTTGTTCTTAGAGAGTACTTTTCAAATGCAGTGATGCAAGAGAGAAGAAATGCAAGCATCAGGATACAAGGACAGTAAAAAGAAGACAGGTTTAGAGTAGCTTTTCTGTATGTTGGAGCTTTATATGTTATTTTAGTTGCCTGATGGAAACCACTCTAGAGTGAAAACACCACCATCAAAACTTTATTATAGTATATTGTTAAAATTGTTATATTTTAATCTTTTCCTATATATGATTTGGAAATTAAACATAATTATCAGTAGTCATATAGGGAAGGCAGTATTTATAGGATTGAGTACTCCCTGCACTGTTAGGCATCCACTGACAGCTCTTGGAATGTATCCTTAGGGATATGAGGAGCCTGTGTGCCTCACAGTCTACACAATAGCTCAGGGCAACAATCTGGCTTGGAGCTTCCTCACACCACTGCTAGAGTGAACACCCTTCACTGCCCCAAAGTACTCAGGAGCCACTCTTAGCAGGAGGAAGATGTCTCTTCTTCAGGCCAGCATTGGGGAGTTCTGGTGAAAACCACCTAGAAGACACATGGTATGGTGAGCAACCTTCTCCAACGCATGTTCCCCTCCACTGCACTCTGCAGTTAGACTGCCTGAGTTAGAAGCCACAGTAGCCATTTACTGGTTGCGCATGCTCGAGCCCACATCAGAAACAGCTGCAATACTCTGTCTCCTGTGTCTCCTCCCATGAGGATGAGATGAAAATAACTCTCCACCCACAAGAACAGCACAGTTCCAGGTGGGCAATAAGCACTCAGGGAGTGATGTCCCACTCTTGGTCATGGAAGTAAAGGATGAGGTTTAAAGGAAAGCGTGATGAAGTTCAGTCAAACTTCAGCCTAACTCAAGAGTAACATTTAGAGAACTTACAACAGTGACTTAAGTTTGGAAGACTGAATCAAGGAGCAGTTTCAATCTAGGCTGCAAATCTGTCCCTCCTTTTTTGGTTAAAAATCGCTTCCATGATACTTGGTCAGGGAGAGATACATGACCATATAGGTAGTTTTCCCAGGCCAGGGCATGTCCATTGCCTGGGTTTGCTGGATCCTGACTTCCCAGCATGTGGGGAGAACTGACATTCATTGCAGGAAATGGGGCTATGTTCACATTTTCCCCTAAGAGAAAGAATCACCGCCACGATGAATTAGAAGTGGCATGGCACCCTCTTCCCATGCTTTGGAGTGGGAGACAGGCTAGAGGATATGTCTTCAAGCATCCCTCTGAGGACTTGGTTCTCCATCACTGAGATTTCAGTATGAAATGAATGCAGTGAGAACCTGAGTGTGTGACATCAGGACATGAGGACATAACTAGGACATAGCCCCATACTGGAAAACCACAATTTGGGTATATTTTTGTATCACTATTAGTAATTCTTTTGAAGATTCTAGAGCTATAGGTATGCAGAGATAAAGGTATGTAGAGATAGAGGTATGTAGAGCTCTGTGGTAGAGCACTTGCCTAGAGAACACAAGGCTCAGAGTTTAATCCTGAGCACTGCAAACTAAATTAAAAATAATTACACTCATACAATTCTGTTTCTTTATTGCACACAAGTACAAACACTCTACACTATGGAAGAATGGCCATGTGGCTTTCCCTTACCATTTTCAGTCAGCAGTTAAGAATAGTCTCTTCTGTCAATTGCAAAAGACCGTGTTACCTACCTTTTCTCCAAGGTGAGCTCAGCAGGAGATGTGCCTGTGTAGCTGTGTTGCTGAGGGCAGGAACTTCAGGGCATGGGCATTGGGAAAGCTGATGTCTTAGGAAAGGTAGTCTTTGATGTTAAGTATATATCTTCTCCCATGTCTGAGAGAAACATGGGCAGTGCAGACTGAATAGTGGGTAAGAAATTTAAAACTAAACACAGCTCTAGTTAAAGTAGTATATGCCTTTAATCCTAGCACTATGGAGGCAGAGGCAGGCAGATCTGTGAATTCAAGCTTACCCTGATCTACACAATCTTAAGCCACCTAAGGCTACACCTAAGACCATGTCAACAAAAACAAAACAAATGTATATCACAGTGGATCCATAGAGCAACATGTTCATCTGTAGACCATTTATTACAAGAGAGCAATATATATACATATGTATATACATGCATTTTTAATGAACCTATAGGCTTCATTTTGAGTTAAGAAAGGCCAAGAGCATATCCAGAAGGAATCCTGTTGATTCAGACTTTTAATCCTGTGTTTTGAACTAAGGTTGCTAAGAAAAGGTATGCCGAGAGGTTATTTACACGACACCACCATAGCAGGAACAATCTAGCACTTGTTCTGGTGCTGCTTTTTGTGACTGGGAAATATTAGGAAGCTTCCCTGTATTAGTGTCCGTGCCTCCCGCCCCACAGAAGGGCTCCCAACAGGTTCACATCTAGCCGTACACTGCATCTGCCCTGGTAGATTCATATCTAAATCATGCCCTCATCTCTAGTGTCTCTTGCCTTTCATACAGTATTTTCTGCCCATTCTGCCAAATACATTGAGACATGGAAAACAAAAGATCAAATTCATGAAATTAAACATTAGTTTTTTTTCACATTTATTGTGCATGTATGCTTGCATATGTGCACTCCTGAGTTGGGGGAGGGGATGCCACAATGTTGATGTAGCAGTCGGAGGACAGCTCTCAAGGGTCAGTTCTCCAGTGTGGGAACTCTCTCTCTGTCCTGTGGATCTGTGGGACGGCAGGTCCATTGGGCTTGGTGGCAGGTGCTTTTATCCACTGAACTATTTCACTGGCCCCAACAAGTTACATTTTAAAAATAGTTGGTATCTAAGGCCATACTATCCAAACACACCTGATCTCTCCTAGAAATAGTTGGAAATAGAGTTTCTGAAATTCACTTGCATACTTAAGGAGTAAAACCTGAAATATGAGTTCCTCCTCTTAAAAAATAGTTGAGTCCGAATTAATCTGTAGTCAGTCTAGTCAGAGGTAGAAGTGTGTTTTTCTCAGGAATCTGAAATAATACTGTCAGCCTTTCTTTCCACTCTCCATTCCAGGACAGCTAAACTACCTCGGATCAAGCCACCAGATCTGGCATATCCTTGCAGTAGTGATGTTATACTGGTGGCATCAGTCAACAGTATATGTCATGCAGTACAGACACAGCAAGCCTTGCCCTGACTATGTTTCGCACCTGTAAATTCAGGTATGGCCACCTGGTGAATCTAGTCATTAAGCAATACAAAGTGGGGAATTTTAGATTCCATTATTTCTAAGGTTCCCTTTTTTTTTTTCCTTTTTCTTGTTTAATGAGTCATAATGCTTTATAAAAATTAGAAAACCTCCCATGGATCTATATAAGAACTGTGTTTGACCCTTGCAACTCTGATTTGCTGTTTGTACCGATGGTGAAATTTAGATGTGGTGAGACATCAGTGTCCTGAGTAGTAGCAGTGGATATGAAATTACTCCAAAAACAGGGCTCATTTTTTGGGGGGTGGTTGGTGAGGCAGGGTTTCTCTGTGGCTTTGGAGGCTGTCCTGGAACTAGCTCTTGTAGACTGCCCACTTCTGCCTTCAGAGTACTGGGATTAAAGGCATGTGCCATGTCCGGCACGGGGCTCATTTTTATGTAAGACCAACTTCATTTTCTTAGGAGTGGCTCTTGTCTGTTAAAAATTGAAGCATCCTGTATGCTTACCCTAATAGGAGACATTTTGATTAAGTGACCAAGTTTGTTACAGTCTGTACTACTCCAAGCTAAGCAGTGCAACTTATGAGAAACTGGCCCCTGGGTTATTCCCATAAGCAGTTTCTCCTCCCCTTAGGAACATTTGATTTTTTAATTTACTTATTTTTAGTTTGCTAACAAAATTTTAATTCCTCCATTGAGAAAGGTATTGAGAAGAGAAAACAGACATGCATTGCTGTTTTTAAAAAGAACATTAGATTGGAAACTAGGTACACAACTAAACAACACAAAGTCTGATAGCCAAATCATCAGCTACCTAATTTTTATCCCAAATATTATTTAATTCCATATTATAATTCGATTCTTGACAGTGAATTTGATTCTAGTTTTCTCAAAGAACTTTTCATGTCTGACTCCAGCCCTAAGTTTCATGATGATGAGTTCAAAACTATATGGGTGCTACTTTGAAGGCCATGAGATCTGAGTGGCCCCGTCTTGACCATGAAGTCAACCATAAGCCTTAGAAGTCATGCAGATGTCTCATTTGATAGTGAGATTATTCATTCACCGCTGCTCCAAGCTTGCTTATACTTGTACTAACATTTCATTGGCAACTTAAACGTGTATATAAACACCATGTACAGTCCAGAGCTGAAGCATTAGTCCTGTTAATAGTAGATCTTATAATTGTATAAGTTTTATTCCTTGATCTTTCTAAATGCGTATATTAGATCATTCATAGTATTCATACAAACTTCTGTTATCCACTGAAATATAAAGTACGACCTAAGTTTCTTAATAAGTTGACAAGCTGTTTTAAATACTGGTGTAATTTCAGGAAAAGTGTAATCAGCTAATATATCATAAAGTTTTTCTTGACATTGATGTTTATTTCTTAAATGCACTTTCTCCATCCAGTATTAGGAAAATTGATATGCCTCACTTTATGCCTCTGTAGACTGTTTCTTTTTAGTATTGTAGTTTTGGAATTTAAAATTTCCCATGCTGGTATGTCAGAAAGAACTTTCTCCCAGTGGGCTCAGTGAAGGCCACCATTGCATAACCACTGCTGTGATGGAATGCTACTTTCAAAGTGGCTGTTGTACCTTAGGTCACAAATTCAATTCATATGCTCAACTTTACATGACCTGAACATATTTTTCAAAAAATACCCTTTTTTAATATATGTTGTTCTTGAATACACATTTTATCATTTTGGCCCGAGTAAATATATATGCTAAGTTTTTAAGTTAAAAATGAGGAAAATCCAGTAATTTTTGGTGTGGAGCCATTTTTATTATGAACTCTTCTCAAAAAAAAAAAATTCAAAGTCTTTTAAATTTAATATTTTTTTTTCTTGTTTCAGACAGAGTTCCACTCTGTAGCCCTGGTGGGTCTGGAACTTGCTATGTAGACCAGGCTGGCCTTGTATTCATAGAGAGATCCACTTGCCTCTCCCTTCCAAGTGCTAGGACTAAAAGCATGTGCTATCACACCCAACCCTATAAGTTTTACTTTCTTTAAATGCCCAGTTTCTTTTTGTTTTGTATATGAAGTCTCTAATAATTGTGTATGTATAACACATAAAAAGAGCATACTTTGAATAGTTCTGATTGTAGGGACAGTTGTTCTGTGTTCTCTGAACATGTTCAGTATTATAATTAAACTATTGTCCTCATCTTTTATCTTTATACTGTATTTATTATAAAGGAATAAATGACTGTGGATTGCTGTCAACCATAAACACTTATGTATGTCAGCATTTATTGACCATCTACTGTGTGTATAACACTACTGATAAAAACTTTAATTATTCATATTAAAGATTATTTGACAACTGCTTAAATCTGAGCTTTGTAATAATGTATATTTTTGTTTTTATCAGTTTATTAAAATAGGTTGAAAATTGTATTTCCAGCTACAGTATTTAAAAGAAAAAAAAAAGTCTCACTTTTACCTATATATGAACTATAAAAGCTAAGCAGACTTTAAAAGTACATTTTTAAACTGTCTCTGGCTGTTTTATATTATAACAATTTATAGAGATGTAGTAAACAGTAAACAGTCATTTTTCTCTATAAAGCCACTTTCGAACAGCAAGGCACTGCTCATCTTTTTGTTTCATAACAGAGTGCAGCTTGGTAGCTGCATGGCAAAATGTGCATATGTAAATAAATGGGGTTTACTAAATCTGTGCTGCTTGTCATTCTTTGTGATACATTACAGCTTCAAATTGCATCTTAGCTTCAAACGATAAGCCAGGGACTGTCACAGCTTACTATCCCAGTGGACACAGTATACAATTGAAGATTGTGCTTGAAGAGTGTTGAGCTGCCTGACTCTCCCTTGTCAGAGACACACACACACACCCGCCCCCGCCCCCGCCCCCACTCCCGTCCCCAGATGTTTACCCTGCTCTGTATTTAAATGCCAAGGGGCATGGCCTGCATTTGTGGGTTCCTGCCAGTTGCTGAGAAGGTGCACATCCACCCAAAAAGCAGCATTTCCTCTAAGTCAGCTGTGAGGGAAGGGGCAGAAGGGCCTTTTGTATGCATTATCACAGTAACATTCACACTGAAGAGAAATGTAGATAATAAAGCACCCAGGTCCCCTGAGACTTGATTGTATTTCTGTAGTGTGATGAATGATCTGGAACTGAAACTTACCCTTTAAAATTTTTTTCTGAAAGGAGAGAAATAACAGTAGGGCCCTCTGAGGAAAGTGAACTTCTGTACCTTCCACAGCTTGTGTGAAGAGCCACCAAGGCCCTCATCCTGTTCTTCTAATGTGGCATGAAACTACTGCCCGGCATGCAGGTAATCTCAGCTGTGCCAGCCCCAGGCTCTCCTAAAATCCAACAGCTTTAAAAGATCGCGCTGTCAGTATGAGTATTAGCTGTGCTACATATAATGCTTGAGCCAGTCTTTCCTAAACAGAAATTAGTCAAAATAAATAGCTCAAATAGTACTATATGTTCCTCCTTGGAGAGATTAACTATAACCAAATCTAAACAGTGACTGCTTTGCACTGGCTACACTTCAAAACAAAAGTCCACCCATACCAAGTAAAACGAATCCTGTTCAAAGACTAAGAAACTGTCACAAGGCACCAAGCCAGACTCTAGATTGTGGAATACTGCATTCTGAGATAACACTGCAACTCTGTTGTCAATCTAATACACAGGCCATCTCTTTTCTGACATAGTCAGGAACTAATACTTAGAGAAATATTGTTAATGCTAACTGCTTTTTACAGTTGAAAAAAAAAGAAGTTACAAATGAAAGCCTATGCCAGACAAGTTTGAATTCAAAGGGTACCTAAGATCTTGTGTTCTGACCTTACAGTCACTGTGTGAGTGAAGGTGTGGCAATTATACTTATCAGATGTTCTTGTTGCACAAAAATGAGGCCAGGTGCATTTTCTTACATCCTAAAACCATGAACTATTTGAAAACATAGTACATAAACTAAGACAGAATCTATGGTGAGAATGAAAGAACTAAATAGAAGTTTATAATGAAACTTTTAATGAGACAAATAATAATAAAAAAAAACTCCAAAGGCACTGATTATAAAGAATAAGCAATCCATTTGGGATTTATTGCATTTAAAGAAGGCAGATTATTAAAACAGTAGGTATGATAAATACAGTAAGAAAATAACTTTAAATCTCAAACAAAATAGTGAACAGAATTCAAGACTAAGCAATGTAAAGGCAATAAGGTAATAAAATTAGTGCTTACCTGGGTACAAGGGAAGCAACTGAATTCTATAAGTTTCCCAGCCACATTTGAGGACTTAAGTTACTTTAGCAAGTATGTTTTATAACAATTAGAAACGTAACTAAAGGTATAAATCGGTTTTTTTTTTAAGATAAAAGTTATTAGTGGTACATAAAAGGCTTCAGAAAATTCAAGTTTAACAAAAATGGAAGTGTAATCAAAGAAAGTGCACTTAAAGCTGTTTGCCAGCAATTAAAAGGGAGCTTCCAGGCTGGAGGTGCAGCTCAGCACTAGAGTGCTTGTCTAGCATGTGCAAGGCCCAGGGTCCAGTCCCCGGCACCACAAAAGAAAGAACAAGTGGCTACTACTCCTTCTGTTGGGCAACTTTTCAGTCACAAAAAGCGTGTTGCAATAAAACCAGTTCTTTTCTGAAAGTAGCACTGTGAATTTTAAAATTTAAAACAAAAAAACCTAAAACAGACCCAACCCTCTGTATTTTCGTCGTCTTCTTCCTTTTAGTGGCTTTTGTAAACCCTCTGTAGGAGTGAATGCTCTTTAAAAAACAAAAACAATAAAAACCATGATTGCCATTTTTAAATCCACATTAATTCCCTACTAGAGAGCTGTGATGTGCATGTGTGTGTCTTTTTATCTTAGTAGAAAACACACTTAGTATAAAAGTTTTCCAACAGTCTTTTGCTATGGTCACAGTAGACATGTCATCTCCTCACAGTAGACTGTCAGCTTAATTAACTAGACTAAATTGATGACTAATTTTGCTAAAAAAGAAAAACAGAGGAAAACTGACAAAGTACACTGCACATTCTACATACACTAAACAGATGTACCCAAAGTCCCCTAAGTAGTGATAGTAATACACATTCAAACCTAGATGACACAGCCGAGTGGCTGTCCCTCAACACCAGCGCAGGAGAGTGGGCTTCACCAGCAAGATGACAACAGTAGTCAGTCCTGGTTAAATGGCTGCAAGGTGCACAGATCTGAGATCCAAGGAATTTCCTAACCATGCCCAAGTACACATCCCTGGGTGGGGGTGGGGGTGTGAGCACTCAATTCTTAATATTCTAGTCAGTTATATTTTCTCCCAACTTAGAATAGACCTTTTCTCCAACTCTACACCAAGCAGCTTCTGTGCCTCGGCATCTACATTCTTCAATGCCATAAACAATGATCTTTGAAATAGTAATGTTTTACTGGATGGAAGCTAAGCAAATGGTCCACTCTTTCAAAGAGGATTCAGAGTTAACAAGCTGTTAAAGCTTCTAAGAAACAGTTTTTGCCTCGGATCCTTGCTAGGTTTCTAATGTAACTTCCCTTTGATGTTCAAGTTTAACAGGGTTAGGACTACTTTGCATACTTAGAAGCACAGGGCACATCCAAATGACATTCCTTAAGACAGAACTGGGCCATCCCAGGACACAGCCAGCCTTCGGTGAGTGCTATGTGCTAGAGCCTGTGCTTGGCAGTTTAATTCTCCTAAGGGAATTAAGTACCTAAGGCTCAAATGTCTGGAGACTGAAGAGTGGAAGTGGAAGTCTCCACATCTTAAGAAAACACCTCTAACATCAACACAAAGGAACTGCCCTACTGGACCTCCAGATAAATACTCCATCCATCCAATGAGCTGGTCTCCAAAGAGGAATGTTACCTGGCTGGGCTATAGGAGACAATGTAAACATTTTAAGCTGTGGCAGAGTTGTTTCCTAAGAATTTATCCAGCATAAGCCAAAGGGGCTGTCAGTGAATCATTTCAAATTCCTCAGTGCGTTGAAAGGCAAGTAAAACTACAATTTCATATTCACATCTCAGGAGATCACCAGTTCACTGACTGCCTTCTCGTTGAGTTCCTCTGTAAATAGAAACCTAGTGTGCAGTTGAGTTTAGCATGTGTAATTAACTCTTCACTTTTAAAGGACAGCATCGATGAATCTGTGTTGTAACTTAAAGGACCTATTACCATTTGTATTAGCAATATTAATCAACCTGAGAACTAGAAGAAGGTGCAAAACACAGTCTCTGCCTTTGGCACAAGGACAGTAGGCAGTGGCAGCCCAGTCCGAGGTGGACGTAATGCTGGGCGGCTGCCCATCCACTTTTCACCTGACTGAGCTCAGAGAAGAGAAGCAATAAAAATGACTGTGGCTTAGCTTCTTTCCAAGTTCCAAACTGTGAAAGTAGGCAAATAATTTACCCTACCAGGGCACTAAAATTAAGAGGTTTTAATAAGATTACTCATGAAATACATTAATTGGAAGCAAAGAGAGTTAACTTAAAATATACCTAAGTTCCCACCCCTTTTTGTAAATAGCTATTAATCTAGAAACTTCTAGTGCTAATCTGGTTAAAGACAATTATAACTGAAGACAGAGACACAATAAGCACAGACAGTGTGTTCACATTAACTGATGTATAATATGCTACCATTAAACATGACACCTACAAAACTTCAAGTTTCTAATTATGACTGGTGGTTTTTTTTAAAAGGCAATTTGGTAGCTTAGTTCTTCTCACTAACGATGCAATCAGCTAGCAGAATTCAAGTCCCTAGTCCCCCGATCCCATTCTTACATCGCCGACAGTCTGGCTGTCAGTGCAGAGGGACTGCCAGCAGGAAGCATGTGTCCCCATAAGACTGGTCAGTGTCACTAATGGAAACTGCTCCCCCTCTAAACATGAGGGAAGGGATTGCTCATGACTTGGGAGTGTTGGATAAGGGTGGTGATGTAATAAAGTAGTAAATACAACATGATTTTACATTGTAAACATCTTAAAATTTTAAAGTTCCAGCTAGTTTTTCCTGAAGTTAAATTTCTATATAACCTCTGTCCTCCCACTTTTATCAATATGCTTCGCTAGGGACATGATGATAAAGATTTTGGCAAAACTCCATTCAATGTATTATTTCTAAAGTACCAAATGTTGCTTTTCTTTTTGATGTGTCATTATTTTACATTTTTCAAATGCCAGATATTTCTCTTTACGTTTTTGTTCCAGGCTTCTATTAAGCATTCCATGTTTTAAAAATTTATTTTTGACAGATTAAAAATTGCATATATATTATCATATACATGTTTTGATGTATATACCATAGGAAGAGCTAAATTGAGTTAACATATACAATATTTCATATAGTTTTCATTATAGAGTCCATTATTAATGGCACTTGTTTTTAAAAATGCAACAGAGTTTTAGGCACAATAGTCAGTTACTTCTGGCTCTACATTACAGGCAAGTGTATGAACTGAAGAGCACACTGCAGGCTGTTTCCTCCTGGGTGCAAACATTCAGTCAGCCTGGCTTGAATCTCTGGACCTGGGGTGTGCACCTGTATGACATGATCCCAAGGGATACGATTTCCTGTCCCTCAGTGGCCATACACCTGCGTTCCCAGGAAGCCCCACAGTTGTATCTCTCAGGAGCAAAAGCCCTTGGAGCTTTCCACTTAGGCCCACTTAGGCCTTTCCACTTAGGCCACTTCATGCTCGATGAAGGCATTCCTCACTACCCTGTACAGATACTTACATTTGGTTTGTTTAAAAATCACCTATTCTGATTAACCTGTAAGAGTGAAGGATATACAAATAGATTTTCTTTCAGATTCATAAAACTATTCATACTTTTTTTGAAACAGGAGTTATTGCCGAGTCCACCTGGAGTATCTACTGTTTAGAAGGAAATGGAGCAGCACCAAATGGGTCTAATTCGACTGGTTGGGACTGTTGAGACTCACGTGGTGTAACAAGTTCTGTAAAGGGCACGGCACCGAAGTCATCCATTCTCAATGCGTCTGCACTATGGAATGACCCGTGCACTGAATTCTGTCTTGGCCTCCCAGGCAAGATGGTATTGTGGTCAACACAGATGTCGCTTAGGCCCTGATGGGACTGGTGCCACGACAAGTCTGGAGGATGGAAAGGCTTGGCACCAAAGGGGTCCAGCAGACTCTCCTCGGGTTGCAGGCCACTGCCTCTGTCTCTGCCATCAGTCAGTGCAACGCTGATGTTCTCCTTCGAGTCGGAAATTGTTAAAAACTCACTGCTGCTTTGTGAGTCTCTGCGGCCCACCTTCTTGTGTCTGCGGGCCCTCTCGGGGGTGCGGTAGGGAGGCTTCAGGGGCTTCTTTGAACTGGTGGGTGTGCCGTGGTGGCGCTTCCCATTGCTTTTGGACACATCCTGCTTTGTGCGCCTCTGGCGAGAAGTCAGTTTCTGCAAGCTGCGCTGTTTGACTTTCTGCTGCTGACTTCCGGTTATTTCCTCAAAGGGCACGAGCCCAAAAACATCCTCCCTGCTCTCACTTCTACTCGCTGATGTGGAAAATGGCTGAAAGGGAGTGGAGCCAAACATATCTACACTTCTGGGCCGTGCAGGCAACGGGCGCGTGTCAGGCCCCGCTGTGGGCCAGTCCTGTACATTATTCACCTTCTTGTTGAAGGGTGCCCTTGTGAACACATCAAAGTCCTCCTGCTCCGGAAATGTCTGCTGGGAGAGGTTCTTCCCGTTCCCCCTGTGCTGCTGCTGTGGAGCTTGCACCGCGAAGAAGGGAACCGCACCGAACACATCAAACTCCTGGCCAGGAGTCAGCGCATCAGTCGGTGAACAGGCGGGGGAGAGGAGTGCTGGGTCAGGGGCTGGGCTCCGCCCCCCACCAGTTTCGTACTTGGCTTTAGCCTGTTCATACTCCGAGTCAGAGCTGTGTTTGTCCTCCTCTTCCTCATCTTCAGAGTCCATGAGCAAAGGCCTGTGACCCAGGTTCTCGGGCTCGGTGTCGTCATCATTAAAGTCCCCGTGTTCTCCCTGAGCGTCCTCATCTTCTTGTTCTTCTTCACTGCTCTTAGGAGAAGGGGGGTCCGATTCAAAATCGCTTTCAGATTCGTCATGCCCCTTCTGCACTTGACCCCGAACCGCTGGGTTCTCTGGGGTTTTCTTTATAGCCCGCTGATCTTTACATAGTGGACTTGCGCTCCCATTTTTGGTAGGGTTTGCAGTGATATTTTTTTGATTTGGAGAACGTTCAGTTTTCTTTTCAGGAGAACCTAAAGGTTCAAAGAAAAGTCATTACGGTATTCAGAGTTTCAGTATCCACTTGTACTAAGCACATGACATTACGGACCTCGCCAGGACCCCTCCTGGAGGAGAGTGCCGTTCTTTCTCTGATCTTTTCCTGGGTAGGTGTTAGGGACTGTAATGCAGGCAGTGTGACATATTCTCATCTCCATAGGCTTGGCATAGTCCCTCACTACAAAGAAACTGCATTCACAGCACCTGTACAATAGCAGGACCCTCAATAGGACAAGAATATTAATGGTCTTCTCCACTGTCAAAATCAGACCACCCACTCTCTTTACTATAGTCTCTGCCTACCTACATGTCAGCATGTTGTTTTCTGTGTTATGTCTGCAATCTGCTCTCTAAAATTGAGTATTTTAAGTTAGTATCCATGTGTCTCACATAGACTGATCAGAGCTGAGAACCAACTCTGACACAGCCACTATCAAAGACACTTAATGAGACTGCACCAAAGCTGTGTGCCTTCCATGGCAGGCACATCTTTAATTAAGAAACCTTAGTTTATCTGAGAATATGCTACTGGTCTTCTGAACTGGGTGTTTCCAGAGGTGAGAATCAATTTGTATTGATCCAATTACACACACTTATCTCTTCCTCTCCTTATTTAACTAAGGGTTTTTTCCAATTACTGAGGCCTGCAAGTACAATATGTACTCATAAAAACTAATTAGCTTATGGTGGAGGAACTATCACTTTCCATCATGCACACAGTGATCTCTGGCATGGTGGCCTCAGTTATTTCCTTCTCTTCAAAATCCACACTGTCATGTTTACAACCCTGTAGACCTCTTTCTTCCACTAACACTTTAAACACCTTAACTATATACATTCCCCCAGAGTTCTAGCTTTGGCTGTTTCTCCTTCCATATTCTCTCAAGTTCTAAACTGTACAGTGACTGCCTTGTTCTGGTTGACACTAGTCTTCTTAACTCGACTCTTAATCCTAAATTCCAGTTTGACATCTCTAATACTTAGCTCCTGTGACTATGCATCCTACCAGTACTTGAAAGGTGGGAATTTCAAGGCACCACCTCCACTTTTAGGATGTATTCATCTCCAGTTCCCGCTAAATTAACTTCACCTCCACCTATATGCAGGCCTCCTGGCCAGCAGATGTCCAGACCATCTCTGTACCAGTTATTGTAGCTTTGGTTTCTTGGATCTACACCATTCTCTCTGGTTTATTCATTCCCATATGACCCCTCCCAGAGTGACTCAGTTTCCCAGTGTGCTTCCCCTCCTCACCATTATATGGCTAGCACTCACAGGACTCTCTAGTTGCTCTGAAACTTTCCACTGTGTGTGCATTCTACCCTGCCATGTCTTCAGCTACCAAGAGTGAATGCTTCTGTGATCCTTCAGTACTATAACCACAGCTGGGCTCTTCCTATGAAAACCCAGCTCCTGAAAACTAGGCATCAGAGTCAGGAACTCAGCAGACTTCGGGAAGTCCAGAGAGCTTTGCTGTCCCAACATCTCTCAGTATGAGAGCCCTTCTACCTCCCCCAATCCATCCGAAGGGCTTGTGAACATGTATTCACAAAAAGATCCAGCCCACGTGACAGCCCTTCAAAACTACCCCTAAAAGGTGTTCTCCATACTTGGTGCTTCTGAGGGACTCTTACAGCCCTTCATAACAGACCAATCATTACTATTTGACACATCTCACTGATTAACCTCTGTATCCTAGCACTATGCACAACAGTTACTAAAATGACTGCTGAGGTCAGCAACTATTATCTATATGAAAGGAAAATGATGGAAATTTAGTCACCATCTGGAGTCATTTTTAGCTCAGAATCAATCACTTGCATTTTCTTACTACATTTAACAGCAAAGCACTTTACTATGTGCTATACCTTTATGATGCATTAACTTTCAGGAGTTTGCACTTGTAGTGTCAGTCCTCAAGAATTACAATCTGTGCTCTAAAATCACAGTAGGGAGAATGGGTGCATAAACCTACCACTGGCAGTCAGTAAAGGCCTCCCTAACGAGAAGACAGGACTGAAGCAAGAGAAAGATGCAGCCAGGTAGACGATAAGCTGCTAGCCACTCCAGATAAAAAGCACTGGTACGATGAGGCTGTGAAAATGGGAGTGTGTGACTGAAGCATGGTGAGAAAGGAGGGCATGTGCTTTGTAAACTCAGTATGGGGAGACAGAAGGTATATGGCTGTTGCTCACTGGCAAACCAGCCTCCCCTGCTATGTGAGTTACAGGATAGTGAGAGACCTGTTGAAAAAAGAAAGACTGAGAACAGAGAAACAGAGATGAAAAGAGGAACAGAAGGAAGGAAGAGGGTTAGGTAGGAAACAACGTGATAGTTCACTGGGTAAGAGCACTTGCCACTAAGGAATGACAACCTGACTTCAGCCCTGGGATCCTTATGGTAGAAGGGGAGAACTGACCTCCCCAAGTTGGTGGGCCATGACAAGTGAGTGCATATAAGCACTAGTGTTGTCTTCAGCCTCCACAGCAGGTGGAAGAATGAGACTGGAAAGAGAGCATGAGCTAGATGAAGCTACTATTGACATGGAAAGAATGACTTGGAAGATGTTCAAAGCATGGTTTGGCGCCCCTGGTGTGCTTGCGAGGCAGCTGCGAAGACACTGGTTGTAATATGAATTTTAGTTTTTGCTGAAGAAAACAGACTTGGAAGCTACTACTGTGTAGAACAGAGTGATGACAGCAAGACTACATGATCATCACCTGATGGGGTACAGAGACTACAGGATCATCACCTGATGGGGTACAGAGATTACAGGATCATCATCACCCGATAGTATACAGAGAGATGACAGCAAGAATACAGGATTATCACCTGATGGTGTACAGAAGAAAAGGTTCAAAACTAAGCCTTGGGGGCACAGAACCAGAAATCAACCAAGGAAAAGCAGCTGCCTGCAAGGCAAGCTGAAAAGCACCAGCTACAGAGGAGCAAGACCAGGTGCGTGCAATTACTGGACAGAAGACAGTGTGCTTCCAGGGGAGTGACAGGCACATGAGCCCATGGCTCAGCCCTAAGAAAAGGGACCAAAAACAGCTCTCAGGGCATAGTCATCTTTTCACAGTTTGTTGACAACCTTGACCTTAGTAGTGAGGCTAAGAATGACTGAGAGAGAACAATGCAGAGAATCTCACTAGGTAATACTTCAAAGGCAGACATCATCTTCTGCCCAGTTCTTAATTTAGCGAAGAGCTGTCATGTTGTTTGTTACCCTAACAAACCAGAACCAGTCAGAGGTAGGTGCTCATGTTGGCTGTGCTCCCCATACAGCATTTCTTTGATATTAAAAAAACAAAAATGAATTTTAGAGTAGATTTTCATGAATTTTTAGTGAAAACCAAATGAGTTCCTGAGGACTCTGAATCACCCCTCACTCAACAACATTTTCTCTAATAAGACACTTAGGCCACTCACAGGTAGCCATGCATGTACCCCACACACTTCAGACACCTGCAGGGTTGCCCAATTAACCCTTAACAAGAATGAAACAAGTCACATGGCCTCAGGCAACCAAACCCATGGAAGGATGTACCTGATATTCTGCCTTCATTTTTCCTCACCTGCAGTATGCTACACAAAAGAATCTAATTTCATGACACCTACATGCCCCAGTTGTTTCTCTCTGTTTTCATGTAATGTAACATGTCAACCTGTATAAACAATTAGGAGACAAGTACTTGGGTAAATCCACCCGAAGCTCTTCTAGGAAATTCTCCAGCTCCAGGGTACTTAAGTTTATCCCTGGATGTCAGGCACTGCTGGTACCCTCCCCTCTTGAATTTATTTTTATTGCATGTATATGGGTGTTTTGGTTGTATGTTATGTTTGCACACCACATGTATATAGTCCTCAAGGAGGCTAGAAAAGGGTACCAGATTCCCCAGGTGGTTGTGAGCCTGTGTGGAGAATGGAGATTGAACTCAGGTCCTTTGGAGAAGCAGCCAGTACTCTTAACCACTGAGCCATCTCTCCAGTTCTCTTTCTTAACAAGGCAAATGAAGTAAAACCTGTTACCATCCTATTTTACTCATGGGGTTAGAGTAGAGTAGCTGTCATCCTGGCAGGATGGTTTTCTTAGCTTTGTTAATTATACATGAGAAAGAAATGGCAATAAATGGCTAATGTGAAAGTGAAATCTAGAAGAAGTGGCTTCTCCCCTTTTGTCCCCTTGAGGAAAATATGCACAAAGCATGGTTCTTCTGATGTAAATGTGGGAAAACTAGAAACAGCCTAGGTATTGTGGTGACAGTGCAGAGGTCCATGCATCACCTCAGCATGCTTTCCCAGGAAATCACTTGAAAAGAGCATGGAAACAGTGAGTAAAACAAGACAAAAAACAAACTTAAATCCACAGTCAGTTACAAAAGTAGCTCTGCATAGCTCTTTCCACTGAAGAAAGGTGTTTCTGTTGATACGGCCATCGGAAGGAAGGGGAGAAAGCAGTTTTAGCTGCTGGACAGTATACAGGCACTGGGGAATGGAAACGGCCATCTTCATGCAGAGTGGATTTGGGAAGCCAGAGTAACAGAAAGGAGCACCAGACGGCACGCTCCATATGGAATATCTACTGTGGTAAGAGTTAAGAGACAAATGAACTCTTTGTTATCATCTGCAATAAGAAGCAAACTAAATTACTTCACCTACCATACTTAACCACCTTCTAGTAACTTTTGTAGGCCAAATGAGAGGGAACGTATAAAGAAGCAATTCTTGGTTAATTTA